ACACCCGCCCCCCAGACGAGGTGCCCGTGGCCCTGTCCCACTCCCCATTGGGACCCTGAAGCCTCATCCCTGCCTAGCTCCCTCCCTCCCTACAGGGGCCTCAATTCCCCTCTTCTCCCCCTACCACTTACCTGTGGGAGCTGCTCTTAGGCTGCCTGGGGCCATGTGCATATAGATGCATCTGGCACCTCCTGTCTTACCACCCTCCTTCTGCTCCCTCCCAGCTCCCTGGAACTCTGTCAGTCTGCAGGGAGAGCTCATTGCTAAACAGGAAACTCCATGGGTTTCTCTGGTAAAATGAGAAATGTGCATTTGCCTCTGGCAAAGGTAGAATCCTGTTTACTTGGTTTTTCGAAGGGAAATAGAAAACCTGGATCCCTGGTGATCAGGTATAGTCACCATGGATTCGCCAAGGACAAGTCATGCCTGATCAACCTGATTGCCTTCTATGATGAGATGAGACTCTGTGTATGTGGGAAAAGCAATGGATGTGATATACAGGTTTGCCTCACTTTATGCAGTACATGCTGTAACAGGGGGCTTTCTCGGGGCTGATTTACCTTTGGCCCGCCCATCTGTTTCTGGGCCAACCGCCCATCTTCTTGCTTGCCATGCCTTGTTAATTAATTAACAATCTTAATTAGGTGGGAGGCTACCCATTTTCTTGCCCCGATGCCAGGGGGTGCTATCTGTGGCCCTGTACCTCCCCTACACCACAGCACATGCCTCGCAGATGGCATCCAGCTGTTACTCTCACTGGCCCCACACTGGGTCCCAGACTTTTCTAACCAGGACCCCTCCAAGATCCCTCCTTTCTGGCAGCCTACCCCACCTTCATTCATGCTAACTAGCTCCCTGAAACTATTTTCCCCTCTCGGGTGTGATCTCCCAGGGACCTTTGGCCATACAGGCCCTGGCCTCACCTCTAAGGCCAGTCAGAAACCTCAGGCCCTCTTAGCTCTGGGTGTCTCTCATGGTGGGCCACTTGCCCTATTGACCATCCTGGTCCTGGCCCCAGCATTGACCAGTTGAGGGTACTTTATCAGGTCTGAGTCTCTAGCCCCACTCTCTCCCTGGGGTCTGCCCTCTGGGCCCTACTAGCAGGTGACCCACCCAGTTGTGGGAGCTGGGGTTAAGGCTCCCTGACCCACCTTTCACCAGGGTGGTAACTGGCCTGAAAATTCCTGGGGGCTCCTGCACCACTGAGAGCCCCACCAGGCCACCCATTCCTGGCATGGTGCAGTTTTAGGTCATGCCGAGGACCAGGAGCCTCTTAGCCATCCCCTACATCTCCTCCCTTATCTCCAGGATGATACCAGCAGGCTTGCAGCCAGGACTGCCAGTAGGGAACTGAACTGTTTATATAGGCAGCCAGGGCTGCTCCAAAATGGCTGCATGGGGCTGCTCCAAAATGGCTGCCACAATCAAGCACCTGCTGGTTGTTTCACTCTGATCTTAAAGTGGCAGGCACAAACAGTGCCTTGCCCCACATGCATTCATGGAAAACAATGCATAACTCAAATTCTCATAAAGGGAACCAACTTTACAATGTACCAAATAGGGATATGTTCCAAGACCTAGACTTTAGTGAACCCCAAACCCATTTCTATCACTTTTACAAGATAATTTTGGTATTCACCAGCAGCAGAGAGGGGTAGGAGATAAGCTAGCAGGATGCTTAGAAGCCATAATGGGGGTAGCAACCACAGAAACACATGTCGTGGACAATGAGCAAGGAGCACAGATCCACATAGGAGACTATATTTTGCTGCACATCACTCCCACAATACACTGCACAAAGCAGCTGGCTGCAGGCTTCCACCACACCGATCACATACGTATGAAATTACCTCACATATAACAAATTTTTGGTATAAAAATGGTTATTGCATAAAAGCAAATTTGCACATACAGGAACTGCATAAAGCAAGGGAAACCTGTACCTTGACTTTAACAAGGCTTTTGATATGGTCTCCCACCGCATTCTTGCAAACAAGCTGAGGAACTATGGGTTGGATGAATGGACTGTAAGGTGGATAGAAATCTGGCTGGATTGTCAAGTCAGTGGGTAGTGATCAATGGTTTAAGGTCTAGTTGGCAGCTGGTATCAAGTGGAATGCCTCAGCGGTTAGTCAGGGGCTGGTTTTGTTCAATATCTTCATTAATGATCTGAAAGATGGGAAGGATTTCACCCTAAGCAAGTTTGTGGGTGACATCAAGCTGGGGGAAGTAGTAGATATATGGGAGGGTAGGGATAAGATTCAGAGTGACTTAGACAAAATGGAGGATTAGGTCAAAAGAAATCAACAACAAGGAAAAGTGCAAAGACCTGCACCTAGGACAGAAGAAACTGATGCATTGCTACAGGCTTGGGATCAACTGGCTAAGCAGAAACTGTAGAAAAGGACCTGGGGGTTACAGTGGATAATAAGCTGAATATGAGTCAACAGTGTGCCCTTGTTGCCAAGAAAGCTAACAGTATATTGGGTTGCATTGGTAGGAGCATTGCCAGCAGATCAAGGGAATTATCTGCTGGCAATTCCCCTAAATTATTCCCCTCTATTCTGCACTGGTGGGGCCACACCTGGAGTACTGTGTCCAGTTTTTGGCCCCCCACTACAGAAACAATGTAGACAAATTGGAGAGGATCCAGTGGAGTGAATGAAGATGGTTACAGGGCTGGGGCACATGGCTTATGAGGAGAGGCTGAGGGAACTGGTCTTATTTAGTCTGCAGAAGAGAAGACTGAAGAGGGATTTGATAGCAGCTTTTCACTACCTAAAGGGTGGTTCCAAAGAGGATGGAGTTAGACCAGGCATGGACAATTATTTTGGGCGGAGGGCTGCTTAATGAGTTTTGGCAAGCTGTCGAGGCCAGCATGGGTAGACCTACCCCTTGACAGGTGCCCACCCCATGTCTGCCATCTTGGGGGTGGAAGTCCCACCCCTAACCTCTGACCTTTACCACTGGAAGTCCCTCCCCTTGCCCCTGGAAGTACTCCTTTGGGGAAGAGGGTTTGCCATCAGAGGGGGGAAAAAATTACATACTAAAAATCAAACACCCATAATAATATATTTAAATTTAATTAAAAAAAAATTGTCCTGATTTGTATGAGTTTGTGCTATATATGCAGAAGTGATTGAATATGGGGATTTGTGGGGATGTGTGTGTGTGTGTGTGTGTGTGTGTGTGTGTGTGTGTGTGTGTGTGGGTATGGGAGCCATGTAGTGGAGAGTGGCCGGCTAGTGGGTGGGCAGGGAAGTGGGGAAAGCGGTGGGGGAGGGGGTGGAAGTGAGCGGGAGCATGGGGCCTAGACCAATGTCCTGGGGCCAACATTGGTGGGGCCCAGAGCAGGGTGGCAGGAGCATGGGGCATGGGCAGGCAGGGGTCTGTGGAGCTGGGCTGGGCAGCACAAGCAGGGAGAGGAGGGAGCTGATCCAGCTCCATACAGCACCTGCTGGCCGGTACCCTGTGCTCTTGCCGCCCTGATCTGTGCCCTGGCAGGGATGGGGAATGAGTGGAACAGAGACCAGGAACACGCAGCCCAGAGAGCAGGCACAGTCAGCCTCGCATGGGCTCTGAATAGTTGCAGCACGGGGCATTGGCCATGAGGAGGGGGAGCATCCACTTTCCCCCTGCACTGAGCACCAGTTCGTTCTCCACTGCTACCCTGGACCCCGTACCTGTTCCAGGTTGCCCAGTGGGACTGAGAGGCAGCAGCAGCAACCAGCTGGGCAGAAACTGCTGCTCACCATGGAGGAAAGTGACTCCCACACTTGCTGCCACCAGGCACTGTTTGATGCGGCTGCCCACCCAGAGCTTGGACTGTGCTTGGTTGTGGTGCAGCTGCTTCACTGCTGCCTTTGTGCTGCCCCGTGGCTGCTCCAAACAACCACCCCACTCTCCCTGCTGGTGCAGCCCAGCCCGGCTCCATAGACCCGTGCCAGCCTCACACCCCATGCTTCCGCTGTCCCGCTCTGGGCCCTGCTGGTGCTGGCTCTGGGACACAGGCACAGGCCCTGTGCTCATTCGCGCTGTTCACTTCCACTCCCTTCCACCCCTGCCACCGCTTTCCCACCTGCTGGCTGGCCACTTTGCTCCACATGACTCCCGGCTACATAGCCAGACCATGGGGCTCAGCAGGAGTTGGCCAGGCCCTGAGGACTGAGGCAATCCCTGCAGTCCTCCCCTGCTTCTTCCCCAGCCACAAACAGCCTCCATGGTCCCAGGCCAGAAGCCCCTGCTAGGCAGGGGCTTCCGTTTGGGGTGGGGGGGCGGGACTGAGTGAGCCCTGCTGTTGCAGGAGCCTGCCATGGCTTCCCCTGGGTCCTATTGACCCTGGCTTCTGTCATGTTTGATAGGAGCCAGGGACAGATAAATATTAATTTTCTAAATTTTTAGGGGCCCCATGGGCCAGATGGAATGGCCTGGCAGGCCAAATTTTGCTCACCCCTGATTTAGACTGTTATCAGTGGTGGCAGATGACAACAAGGTGCAATGGTCTGAAGTTGCAGCAAATGAAGTTTAAGTTGGATATTACGAAAAACATTCTTATTAGGAAGGTAGTAAAGCACTGGTACAGGTTAGCCATTAACAAGTTTTTCCCTCACCTGTGTTTTATATAACTCCCTCCCTCCAACCCTTTAATAGCTTGACTTGTAACGGAAACTGAGTGGTTCTGCAGGCATAAGGGATAAAAGAGCCTTCCATTGTATATGGTGTATCAAGATTACAGAAACCGCTATAATCATGCTTGCTGTGGGCCACAACAGGCAACTCTGGGAATGAAATTAGCAGGACCACTCTTAAGGTACGTCACAACTTTTGCATATGGGAGCAGAAAGAGTCTGGCAAGTTACATAATATTTGGAGTACTATGAAGTCAAGGAGAAAGGGAGGGAAGTTTTGTGCAGATAATTTTAAAGTAAACAACAAACTTGAAGAAGTTCTTTAGCATTTATTTTTGATAAATGTTAACCCTTTAATGAGATCCGCTTTAGGTCACCAAACAGCTTTCATGTAGACATGAGACACAGGAACCAGTATTCTAGAAGGAAGAAGTTCCATGTTCCAGTTTCTTTAATGACTGAATCTCATGCCTGCAACAAGAGATTGTCCTCATCAATATACCAACATCTCCAGCCCAACATTCCCCTACTGAAGGCAAGGCTGGTGGCATTCCCTGCTATTAAGGTTATCTAATACTTTTTACAATAAGTCCTTGTTTGCCCAACTTAAACCTTCTGGGCGTTATTTTTTTTCTGGATGTCTAGACATTATTTTCCAGCCAAAATGGGAAAGAGATTATGGGAAGGTACATTGTTTTCCCCATGTTTAAAAATTCTGGAAATTTGAGCATCCAACTGGGAGGATGTGACAAGGACGAGATGTGAATTTCAGGGCAGAACAAGTAGAATGTGAGTTCACTAAAGCACAGTCACATTCAGAGCCTAGAGTAGGACTCATGATTGCTAATTTCTTCTGTTGTTAGTAATTTTTTTTTTTGGTGAAACCCACTAGCACAGTTTGTTTCTCCTTCTAGTGCTGCTCTGCAAGCATGATAACAACCTAGCACTCTCATCATCTACTACATTAGCTTAAGCAGTAGAAGTTTGCATTACAATTCTAAAGTTGCTGGTGAAATGCAGTTCTCCATATGGAATTCCTGGAATATTTTTGGGGGTGTTGGTTGTAGCCATGTTGGTCTAAGGACATAGGCACAGAAGGTTGTTTGGGTAAATAGGATATCTTTTATTAGACCAACTAAATGGTTGGAAAAATTGTTCTTGCAATCTTTTGGGCACAAACACCATTCTTCAGGACTCTCCTTATGCCCGAAGATAGGTGTTTGTGCCCAAAAGCTTGCAAAGAACAATTTTTCCAACTGTTTTGTTGGTCTAATAAAAGATATCGCATTTAACCAAAGAACCTTGTCTAGAATATTTTTCAGTTTTCTTCCTTTTTTAAAACAAAAATAGGAAATTACACACCAAATTCTTCCAGCTTTTGCAAGTCTACTTTGGCTTGTGTGTATGCATTATGATACAGTTTTAAATTACATTTTTACATCCTATTTTTTGTCAGTAAGACCCCTTCCTCTGTTACTGCAAAGAATGGATCAATTCTGAAGAACAATCAGGGTTGGTCAGCAAAAGAGACAGCTGTCTATAGCAGGGGCAGGCAATTATTCTGGGCAGAGGGCCACTAACTGAGTTTTGGCAAGCCATCGAGGGTCGCATGACAGGCAGCCCAGGGCAGATAAATATTAATTTTCTAAATTTTTTAGGGGTCCTGCAGGCCGGAGAGAGGGGCTGGCGGGCCACATCCAGCCCCCGGGCCACATTTTGCCCACCCCTGGTCTATAGGACCCCAGATATTGTTACAGTGGTTGGGAAGTGTGAAGTGAATGAGGTAGGGAATCACAGGAAGGAAAAGGATGAGCTCATGGTTAAGGCATCTAAACTGGAGAACTATATTATGTTTTTTCTCCCTGCCAAAGAGTTCCTGTGCAATGCTAGGCAAGTTACTTAAACTACTTTTTCCCCAAAAGCAGTCATTAATTGCATGTTTCTTAGTTTCTAGATACCTGACTCAAGACCCTGGGGTCTCATTTGCAGGAGTGCTGACAACTAAAACTGGAGGCTTGGGAGTTGTACATTAAACATATGAAGTCCTCTATAATGCCAAGTACTTTGAATGCCTGGATCCTAACTGCCCCAAGTGGGCCATCTAAAATGAAGAGATACTTTTGGAATGAATCTCTGAATGTCTTTGTGACTTATAGGCTTTCTATTACAGTGTTTGACTTGTCCAAATTGAAGGAGAGAAGCAATGGGGATGAGACATGAATATCGGTGGTGTCTCGGCACATTCATGGAAAGAGGGTGTTGCAATTAGCAGCCATGCAGAGTCAATGTTTCTGAAGGTGTATTGGAAGTTTTCCATGTGGGCAAGCCACGTGGCCGAACATGCTCAGTCATCCTTCAAGAGTTGAGCCAATTAGAACAAAAGGAGAAATTAAAAATATGGCAGGTAAAGCAGCCCTATGGTCTCAGTAACTGATTCACGTAGATGCTGTAGAAGCTGTGTCTCCATACCTGTATCGCTTTGGATAGCAGCTACAGCTTCGCACTGTTTCATAGGTAACTGGGCTAGAATTCCTTGTATCTGTGAAAGCTCACGACTCTTTGTCAGCTTGCAGGATCCTAACATTTTTGTAAATGAGTGAGATGTATCTTTTCTGCTTAGGCTCTGAAATGCCCAGGTAACACAAAACATATGGTCACACTGTAAAGACAGAGATCCCCACTCTGAGTGAAGATCAGAGGAAAATGTGTATGTATTTATACTAAAGTATAGAGATAGAAAATGCTATGTTGAAAGCTTATATCTGAATGTATATAAAAGCAACATGAGGAATGCCCATAGCCTTTAGAGCATATCTGTATGGCACAATGCAGTGGGGAACGATCTGAGCGCCAACACTGCTTGCTAACTCTGGAACTAAAAGGAGTATAGTCATATTTGGGCTAGGGAAACACATTCAAACAGCCAGAGCCTGAATTAGTTTAACCTTTGCAGGTTGGTCTAACCTGCATAGGCTGAACTGGTTTGTAACAGGACACACATTCTCTCTGGACTGAGGCAATGCAGGCACATGCCTGCAGTTGCTCGGGCCAGGCGCTGGGGGGCACTAGAGCTGCAGGAAAGATGTACTGGCGGGGCATGGCCAGTCTACACTGAACTGGCCAGAGAGGGATTTAATTCCTCCCTCTCTATCCCACTTCCAGGGACCCGGATGGGGTCTGTAGGGTGCTTCCCCCTTGCTGCTGCAGTAGCGGGGCACCATGTGCCTTGAGGCAGAGTGAGGCAGGGAGGAGAGTTAGTCTCCCTTCTGCCCTCACTGGCAGGTGGGTCTGCCTGCCCCTATAGCTGCGCTCCCTGCCCGGGAATAGGCCTCCTGCTGTCCCCTCCACTGGACGATGGATGGAGGAGGAATAACCCTGTCCCTGCCCTGCTCACCACAAGGGGCCCTGCTCTACCCATGCTTCCTCCCCGATGCTTCACAAGCCCCTTCCCAGCAGGAGCACTGTGCTGTGGGGCCAGCAGAGCTGCAGCAGGCTGTGCATGGCAACACCGGGGTCCCAAGAGGGCCAGAGCCCTCTAAGCCCCCTGCAGCACTACTGCACTCTGCCAAGCGCCCCTTGCTGGGAAGGGGCTCACCCTTTGGGAAGCCATGACTGGCTGCTGCCTCTCACAGTCATTCACTGCTCACCACCCCAGCTGCTGAGCGGGGGCAGGACCTGGCCCCCACTGCTTGGTCTGTGCTCAGGGTGAGCCCTTTTCCAGCCAGGGAGGGCTTATTCAGCTGCTGGCCCTCAGCACAGGATGAGCAGTGGCTGCAGCTGGGCTGGGCAGACCCTGCTGTGGTGCTAGTGGCCAATGGCTGAATAAGCCCCTTCCTGCCGGGAGTGGTTTTGCCCTGAGCACAGAAAGGCTACTGGCAATCCAGTGGAGTCTGTCCAGCTTGGCCACCACCACTCTGTGCTCAGGCCAAGCCCCTCCCAGCAGGAGGGGAATTATTCAGCCACTGGCCCCAAGCACAGGCTAAGTGGGAGCTGCAGCCAGGCTGGTCAGACCCCACTGCAGTGCCAGCAGCATCTCTGTGCTCAGGGCAAGCCCCCTCCAGGCAGGAGGGGGCTTATTCAGTTGCTGGCCTCTGGCATCACAGTGGGGTCTGCCTGGCCCGGCCGCAGCCACCATTCAGCCTGTGTTCAGAGTCAGCAGCTGAATAAGCCACTTTTTGCCGGGAGGTAGCTTGCCCCAAACACAGACCGAGTGGTGGGGGCTGGGCCCCGCCCCTGCCCCCGCCCAGCAGTTGGAGTGGCAACTGGTGAATGACCATGATGGGCAGGAGCCCATCATGACTTCCTGGAGTGTGAGCCCCTCCCTGGTATGGGCTGCTCTGCAGAGCATGGCAGCACTACAGGGGGCTCGGCTCTGGCCCACTTGGGACCCTGGTGCTGCTGTGCATAGCTCACCTCAGCTCTGCCGGCCCTGCAGCACAGAGCCCCACACTGGGAAGGGGTTTGCACTCCCCCACATTATGGCAGGGGCTGCTGCCCTGATCAATGGCCCTGCCCCCTCTCACTGCAGTGGCAGGGAGGGGGCGCAGCCAGGCAGGGCCCCTGGGGGTGGGGGCAGGGAGCACGGCAACGAGGGCAGGCAGGCCTGGCTGCCAGTGGGGGGTAGAGGGGAGACTAACTCTCTTCCCTGCCCTCCTCTGCTTCAGAGGCCATGGTGCCCCACTGCTCCAGCAGTGAGGGAGGAGTGCTCAGCAGACCTGGCTTGGGTCCCTGTTGGTGGGATAGAGAAAGGGTATTAAACCTCTCTCTGGGCAGACCCCTGCCCCTGCCTGTCCCTGCTCTGGCTGGGGAGCAGAGGGGCGGGGCCAGCCTGGCAGGGCTGGAGCAGAGAGCCCAGCCCAGAGAACATGCCGGGATGTTGGGGTGGGGGGGTTCTCTGGTTCCTGATTTAACCTAAACCAGCAAGAGGTCTAGGACAGACATTGCATAAACTGGCTTGTGTCACATAAGTTAAATCTGGTCTACATTCAACCAGGTTTATCGTAAACTGGTTTCAGCCATTTTGAAACTGGTTTATGTGCACTGAATGTCTGTTCTGATACAGGTTTAAACCAATTTCTGATCAGTTAAACTGGTTTATGTGTAATGTCTGTCCCTAGCCTTGGACAATACCGTGCATGCTGCTCCTAAGTCTTAATTAGTCTCATAGCTGCACCACCTTGATGCATCCATACTCTATCCAGTTCTGAAGCCAGCTCACATGGAATTAAGTCAGGTGTCTCTGCAACACTGCATTGTGCCGTTCAGTGTCTGCCTAACAGCTTTTGTTAACATTTATCCACAGTAATTCAGATCCTATTTGCAAAGTTTTCTGTAGGCATCCTATAGTTATTTCACTAAGAAACTTTGTGGCACGCTCTTTGAAAGTTGTATTAAGTGCAAGGAATAACAACAACTACTTATTAGGGTTTATGTAAAATAACCCTGATATTTAACTGTCTGTGAAGTTTTCTTTGACCTGCATTTTATCAACTAGTTTGGCCAAGGTGCAGGAAGAAAGGGAGTACAATTTATACAAAAAATGCCTCAGCATTTCCCTCCTCCATACCACATCAGTTCTCCCTCCCTAAAATGTGGATAATGATGCCTTCTCCTTAGGGTGCTGAGACAAATACTTTGTTAATATTTGTGACTCACTCAGATGCAGAACCATAGAAACATCCATGAGGAAACTGATAGTTCTCTCCTCAGGGTTTGAACAGTGTGCTGAATTAGGAAGTGATTGTAATAAAATAGTCATAATGGACTGGGTTACCCAGGTTATTATAGGACAGATGATGCCTTCATGGAATGGTAGTTTTTCTCTCACCATGGGTGGGATATAGTTAAATAAGCTTGTAATTTGGAAAGTAAAGAAATTATTTTATTTGAATGGAGTTGTTCCTTGATAAAAGAGGTCCTTTAAAAACAAAAAAACCCAAACAACCCCAAAGTGAGCATGTAATTAAAGACTATATCTAATGCATGCTCACCAGGGAGGTGAATTAAGGTTTTTCGGGGAGCCTTAATGCTCACTTTTCATAATTGTGGGGGTTTAACTTTGCAATATATATATATA